ATGTGCCGTCATCCCCACTGCAAAGACGAGGCAATGTCAGTGCATGTAGTGCCTCCAAGTGACAGGGCCAGCAAAGGGTAGAATGGATGTTCGACACTCAGGCTTTTAAGTTCTGTCTTCTTTCCACTGCACAAAGATAGTATTTTGCAGATGCCACATGCATAGAGCAGATAATAAGTGTTATGAAGGCTCAGAGGCAAATGATTTTGTATAATTGAGTCATTGGCAGAGGCTCTGGGGCTGGGTACGGTGGCTCCTGCCTGTAATCCCAGCACTTTGGGAGGCCAAGGCGGGTGGATCACTTGAGATCAGGAGTTTGAGATCAGCCTGGACAACATGGTGAAGCCCTGTCTCTACTAAAAATGCAAAAATTAGACGGGCGTGGTGGCACGCACCTGTAGTCCCAGCTACTCAGGAAGCTGAGGCAGGAGAATTGCTTGAACTCGGGAGACAGAGGTTGCAGTGAGCCAAGATCGTGCCACTGCACTCCAGCCTGGGCAACAGAGTGAGACTCTGTCTCAAAAACAAAACAAAACCCAAAACTGAAAAAACAGAGGCTCCTGGAGAAGGTAAACTTGATCTGGTTCTGGAAGGTGAGTTGGGTGTAGGAGACTGTGAAGGAAGGACAGGGGCATTGGGCGTTGGCTATGGGCTTGGCCTGTGAGGAGGCCGCAGGTGGGACGTGGGGGTGGAGGTGCTTGCAGCGGGGCCCAGCCCAGCCTTGGGAGCTGTTGTTTCCACTGAACGGGCTGAATCCTGGGATCCTGAGGGTCTGATTGGGATTCTCAGCAAAGTTTTCTCCCCATGCGGAAGGGGCAGGGGGAGAAAATCGTCAGCAGAACAGACTTCCTTTTGCAAGATGAGCCCTCGAGCAGGAGGAAATGTTGCAGCACTGTCAGGCAGAACAGAGGGCTGCTTCTGAGGACAAGGGAGGGTGGGGGATCCTATGAGTCCTCCCAATGTCCCCCTCCGTTTTTAATCCAGTACAGGAACCTCACCTTTCTCCAATCAGTGCTCTCCCTTCCAGCTGGGAAACCTGCTGGGGCTATGGATTCAGCTAATGTTCTTCAACAACCTGACAGCTTAGACTCTTTTTTTTTTTTTTTTTTTTTTTTTTGAGACAGTGTCTCCTCTATCATCCAGGCTGGAGTGCTATGGCATGATCTCGGCTCACTGCTACCTCCTGGGCTCAAGCAATTCTCCCACCTCAGCCTCTTGAGTAGCTGGGACTACAGGCATATGCCACCACACCTGGATAGTTTTCGTGTTTTTTGTAGAGACAGGGTTTTCACCATGTCGTTTGGGCTGGTCTTGAACTCCTGGACTCAAGCGATCCACCTGCCTTGGCCTCCCACAGTGTTTGGATTACAGGCATGAACCACCGCACCCAGCCAAAGGCTCAGACTCTTAAGACGGGTTTTCAGATATCCTGGCCTTGCATCTGTAAGGGATGAAATTCCGTGTTGTTCTAGGAAGTCTTTAGGTTTCAGTCTGTGGCTTGAATTCAGACTTTAGAGATTTGAACTTCTAATTCTCTAAGTTTTTCAGCGCCATTAAAAGCAGTCACCCACCTATGGCCTCAGATTTCTCGTAGCCATACGATCGCAGGATGGAAGCAACAGTCTCCAAGAGCCGGGCTTGCAGCGGGCATGACATCCCAGGCACCTCCTGGCGAACTAATTACCGAACTTCCTGGGCTGCTCCGTCCCTGTCTCTGCATATCATCAGAACATTTGCTCTTTTCTCTCCTCTCTAAGGCAGATAACCAACCGCAGACGTTCCTTATCTCCCCTCTTCTCCATAATTTGCAATACCCACTCCTGGTACCGAATTTCATATCAGCTAGGAACTTTTCAGTGACAAGTAATGAAAACCGAATCTGTTATAAAGAAAAAAGAAACGTATTGGAAAGATACGAGGGGCTCATAGAGTCCCGGGAAATGGGAGGCTTAGGTTTGGAAAATGGTTAGGACCCAAAGTCGCCTAGAGAGCCCAGGAACAGGAGGCCCAGCAGCCGGTCAGTGCTTTTGAGGCCGCTGCTGGGCACTGCCCTGTGAGCGCTGTGCTCTTCATTCTCTGTATTCAACAGCTTTGTAGTCTAGCTGAGAGGCCCTGGAGGCCACACCCAGGCCAGGTGCCCACGCGTGGCGGGAGCAGGGAGAGACGAGGTCAGCCCCTCTGTGTCAGTGCGTGATAATGCACCCCAACAGGATAGAGGAGCCCCAGTGGAATTCTGCATTCCCATTCTTTCTCCTCCTTTGTGTGGAACATTTCTCCTTGGTGTTTTTTGTTGTTGTTGTTGAATTGGAGTCTCACTCTGTCGCCCAGACTGGACTGCAGGGGTGTGATCTCGGCTCACTGCAACCCCCACCCCCAGGGTTCAAGTGATTCTCCTGCCTCAGCCTCCCAAGTAGCTGGGATTACAGGCGCCCACCACCATGGTCGGCTAATTTTTGTGTTTTTAGTAGAGACGGGGTTTCACCATGTTGGCCAGACTGGTCTCAAACTCCTGACCTCAGGTGATCCACCCGCCTTGGCCTCCCAAAGTGCTGGGATTACAGGCATGAGCCACCGGGCCCTGCCATCCTTGGTGATTCTTTTAGTGCATTTTAGCCTTGTAATTGACAGAGAGCCTCGGGTATGGCACTTTCCTCTGTGAACTGCAAGTCAGGATGAGGGACGGAAGGTTTCAGGAGAGGAGCGGGTGTTTCATCCTGAATAGCTAAGAACAGTGCCATTAGAATGGGTGGATTTACAGTCACTGAGGGGAGTAAAGTGTCAACTAAACCCCCTGGTAATATAGTGCCTAATATTCCCTAAAATATGCACACATTGAGTTTAGATTAGTGCCCGACAGAGTGAGGTGTGGGGGAGGCTGTGATTTGTGTCAGGCTGGTCCTGCCTCAAAGGAGCACAGCCCCGTGGTGAGGCAAACCCGCAGTACCCAGGGACTCCGCTCTGCGCTGTGCAATTCCGAGCCAGCAGGGGGCAGCCTCAGCCAAGAGGAAGAGGTCCTTGTGGACGACAGGGGTGGAAAGTCAGAAATGGAGGTCTTTCCCTGTGTCTTTTGGTCCCTGCTCTCCCACTTCCTAATGTCTGGAGAAGGGTTTAAACAGGGAAAGTCACACCACAAAATATATGTTAAAAAGTTAGACAGGCAGGAAGAAAATGGAAATCTGCATCTATACAAGGGAATAAAGAACGTTGTAAATGGTTAAAAAAAATAAAAATGAAAAGGGGAAAGTTAAGAGTCTTATTTCTTGGCCAGCTGCGGTGACTCAAGCCTGTAATCCCAGCACTTTGGGAGTCCTAGGCGGGTGGATCACCTGAGTTCGAGACCAGCCTGGTCAACATGGTGAAATGCTGTCTCTGCCAAAAATACAAAAATTAGCCAGGTGTGGTGGTGCACGCTTGTAATCGCAGTTACTTGGGAGGCTGAGGCAGGAGGATCACTTGAACCCAGGAGGTGGAGGTTGCAGTAAGCTGAGATTGGATTGCACCATTGCACTCCAGCCTGGACAGCAGAGCAAGACTCTGTCTCAAAAAAAAAAAGTCTTATTTCTTGATCAAGGAAAATCAAGGCAAAATATAAAAGGCGAAGAGCAATCCATTTTCTTCAAGGCAAATGTGTAGGGCAGGGAATGAGGGAAGAGTGGGAGATGTGAATCATTTAGATTTGTGGCAGCTGAAGACATGGGGACTGAAGGTCAGGTGTGTTGGCTCACGCCTGTAATCCCAGCACTTTGGGAGGCCGAGGCAGGCAGACTGCTTGGACTCACAAGTTTGAGACCAGCCTGGCCATCATGGTGAAACCCCGGCTCTACTAAAAATACAAAAACTAGCCAGGCATGGCGGTGTGCACCTGTAGTCTCAGCTACTCCAGAGGCTGAGGCATGAGAATTGCTTGCGGTGGAGATTGCAGTGAGCCAAGATTGCACCGCTGCACTCCAGCCTGGGCGACACAGTGAGATTCTGTCCCCTCCCCCACAAAAAAGAAGTCAGTGAAAAATGGCACTTTGAGAATATCTGATTGGGCACTATGCCCATGCCCCATCCCCCAAATGCCCACAGTGGCTCCCTTCTCCCCTTGGCTGTACAAGGGGTAGTTAGTGGCTGGTTTTCAGCCAGGACTGCTCTCCTCCTACCCCACCTACACTCCCTGTTACTTTTGCCTGGGCGCCATGACTCACGCCTGTAATCCCAGTACTTTGGGAGGCTGAGGTGAGTGAATCACTTGAGATCAGGAGTTTGAGACTAGTCTGGCTAACATAGCAAAATGCTGTCTCTACTAAAAAAATATAAATATTAGCAGGGTGTGGTGGCGCATGCCTGTCGTTCCAGCTACTTGGGAGGCTGAGGTAGGAGAATTGCTTGAACCTGGGAGGTGGAGGCAGCAGTGAGCTGAGATCTCGCCATTGCACTCCAGCCTGGGTGACAGAGCAAGACTGTTTCAAGAAAAAAAATTTTTTGTAGAGATGGGGTCTCACTATGTTGCCCAGGCTGTTCTTGAACTCCTGGGCTCAGTCAATCCTCCTGCCTCGGCCTCCCAGAGTGCTGGGATCACAGGTGTGAGTCACTGGGCCCAGTGTCCCAGCTTCTGCTCTGATCCAGCTCTAGCATTAACCAAGCTTCGTGGCTGTGGGTAGAACAACTTCTCCAGTCCTCAATTTTCTCATCTATAAAATGAGGCGGTGGGATTAGGCCCATGATTTTAGAAATAAACATCAAAAACAGCAAAGAAAGTAAGAGAAGAAGAAGGGACGAGACGATGTGTAAACCATTGCTGAGCTGAGCCCGGACTTGCCATGGTGTGGATTAGATAATGCTGCTTCTCCTCACATGGAATTGTGGGAAATTCCCCAAAACTGTGACCGGAGCCAGCTTTAGGCAAGGCTTTTTCTCCTTCTGGAAAGAACATCTGAACTCAGTCACCTCGGACTCTGCCTTCCTACTCTTTCTCCTCCTTTGTGTGGAACATTTCTCCTTGGTGATTCTTTTAGTGCATTTTAAAAATATTGAAAATAGACATTTTATTTTGTTTATACAAGGTACAATGTCAAAATACAAATCATATATAATGTGTAGCTATAATAGACAAGGAAGTATAAATATAAACACATATATATTTAAAATGGCACTGAGTTGAGGTTTCTTCTTTGCGGATCCTTTGATGGAGAGGATTCGCTTGGCTCAGCATCTCTCCCACCTTTCCCGGGTCCCTGTCTGTGTGTGCAGAGCAGCTGGAGACAGGGTGGTTAGAAGCCCCAGTGCTGGTGTCTTCCCTGGAGACACCTCCCATGCCAGGAGGAGCCTTGTAGTTGACAGAGAGCTTCAGGTTTGTCACTTTTCTCTGTGAACTGCAAGTCAGGATGAGGGACAGAAGGTTCGGGGCAGGGGTTTTATTTCATTACCACAAGTATTCCAGGCAGCTCACACTGTAATAAAATAAAACCCTTGCCCAGAAGCCTTTGGTCTCTCCTGGGAAGCTGGGCCCTGGATCCGAGGCAGGCAGGTGGTGCCCATGGGAAGGCGGAGAACCTGCTTCCCCGCGCAGGAAGCGCCGACCCCGCAGTCCGTGAGATCCTGCTGGGACGTCTGAGAGGCCTGGTGGGCTTGCTCCTGGAGCCCACCTCCTTGCACCTCTTCTCAGTCGTCTTTAGCTAAAGCAGATAGGCTCCTTCACTCCGGACATAGCTGGGCTGGTTTCCCCGAGTTTCAGAGGTCGTGAGAGCAGTTTTCCAAGTCTTCATCTCTGCTGCTGGTCTCCCCAGTCACCGGCAGAGCCTCCATGGCTTCCATTTCAATGCTGGCCGGCGGGGGAGTTTGCCTGCAAAGCAGGTGGTTCATAGGTTTTGAAAAGAGGAGGGGGTTGGCCTCAAATCAACACGCTTCCCACTGAGCATGTCCAGCACTGTGGGGATGGCAGGAGCAGACAGAGGCCCTGCCACAGGAGTCAGACAGAGAGCACTTAGTCCTCAGAGATGGAGAGAACCTAGAATGCCTACCTCTACAGAGAGTATTAAATCCTATCTAGTGGCCAGTTGTGGTGGCGCATGCCTGTAATCCCAGCACTTTAGGAGGTTGAGGTGGGAGGATCGCTTGAGCCCAGGAGTTCAAGACCAACCAGGGCAATATGACGAGAATAATAAATCCTCTCTAGGTATTTCCAACCTCCCCATCCACCAAAGATCCACCAAACGTTGTTGGAGCAACTCACGCCACCCCGCGCTCACCCCATGCTTTGCCAGTCCTCTGCCAAAAAGCCCTTCAAATGGCAGGAATAAGAAAAGGAGAGAGTGACTGGGAGCCTGGCCAAACCAGACTTGATCATCTTGAAAAAAGTGATTTAATATTCATGAAGCTTTTAAAAACAGTTCTTAGCACTTAGTACGTGTGAAATAAAGAAAGAAATACACAAGTCAATCAGCTCCTGAATGACAAGCACAGGGGAGGCAGGACACTGGGTGCCGACGCCCTGGGCATCTGGCCGGCACCTTCTCCCGGGGCAGGTGAAACGTCCCTCCGGAGGAGCAGCAGCTCTTTAGGCCATTTTAAGGTGAGCAGTGTGAGCTGCCTGGAGTGAGAGCTAAAATAAGGCAGGATGCGGGTCCATTCACTGAAAATAATTTGCTAACAGCCAATTTGTCAAATGGCAAATCTAATAACCCATTTGCAAAAAACAAGTTTATGGAAAGAATCAGTTCACCAAATGACCAAGTAATTTATCAGATTTATCAATTCTTCTTTTCCTTCTTTTTTTTTTTTTCTGAGACAGGGTCTCGCTCTGTCTCCCAGGCTGGAGTGCAGTGGTGTGATGCCGACTTGCTGCAACCTCTGCAGACAACCATGCCCAGCTAACTTTTTGTATTTTTTGTCAAGATCAGGTTTCACCATGTTGGCCAGGCTGGTCGCAAAAAAAAGCGATCCATCCACTTCAGCCTCCCAAAGTGCTAGGATTACAGGTGTGAGCCACTATGCCTGACCATGCCAATTCTTCCTAAAGATATATTTATTTCACTTTTTGAGCTTTTTAAAAATGAAAAAAATTTTTTGTGTGTGGGGATCGGGTTTCACTATGTTGTCCAGGCTGGTCTCAAACCGCTGGGCTCAAGTAATGCTTCCACCTCAGCCTCCCAAACTGCTGGGATTACAGGCATAAGCCACCATGCCCAACTGAAATATCTTTCATATAGCCAGTAAATATTGCTGTTTTCCTCTTATGAACATACTTATTGGCTGTATATACCAAATTTACAAATCCTTTTTAAGAATATATTTTAATGTAATTTTCATAAAAAGGTGGTATATACATTTAAACATATATTCAGTGAATATATGTATTCATTATAACCTGTTAAAAATATAACTCCAAATTCAGCATTTTATATGGAAATTCTGTAGTTATTAATAATGATATTTTGAAAATTGTTTTAAAAGTCATTTTCTGTTTTGTCAATATTTTTCATTTTTTGAATTCTTTGGACAAATTTTTGAGTAACATCAATGTTTGTTAATTTCTCAACTGTCTATGAGGTTTATGGCATTTTTTATTGGTTGGGATGGTATTCACAGCTTTTGAAGATTTATGTGAAGTTTTAGATACTGGTTTTCATTTTGACTTTATGGTAGCATTTCATGGAATGTTCATTTTGTCAAAATTAGGCTCAAAGGGTCACATAATTTTTATATTGATATCACATTTAGAAAAGAACATTTTATAACTATTAATAGTAACTAAAAGTTTAGTTTGGACAAATCTGAAATCTATATCAGTATGGAATGCTGGAATACTGGTTACTAATTGATAGAAGCACAAAAATAAGGCCAGAATGCCATTTGAGGATTTAACCAAAGAGTAATAACACTGCCTAAAGATTAGAAAAATGAGAAAAATTTAAAAAGTCAGCAAGTGGCAGAAACATTTTTGCCAGAAATGCTAAGATGCAGAATTTCAATGATCAGGAATGCAAAATTAAGGCTAACATGAATGAGTATATTTATAAGAAGGCATACCCCTATTCAATGAGGACCTTCAAGAATATATTCACAGGGATATCACAAGAAGAACGGATAGGATTGCATGCGTTGGCCACCCAGTGCACTTTCTCTGGCCGCCCCATTTCTACCGTGGGCAGGGGTAGGGGGCACTCGGGCTTGGGGCTGGCTCACTGCTCCTCGGCTCTGGCGCTCATTGGCCCCCACAGAAGGGGTGTGTGGTAGCCAATGGCCAGGAAAGGGGTCCTTCTTCGGAGGGGGCATTCTGGAATCACTATGGTGCGGCTCCTTTCGTTTTCTTTTTTTTGAAACAAAGTCTTGCTCTGTTGTCCAGGCTGGAGTGCAGTGGCACAATCTTGGCTCACTGCAACCTCTGCCTCCCAGGTTCAAGCAATTCTCCTGCCTCAGCCTCCCAAGTAGCTGGGATTACAGGTGTGCACCACCACGCTTAGCTAATTTTTGTATTTTTAGTAGAGACAAGGTTTCACCATATTAGAAAGGCTGGTCTCAAACTCCTGACCTCAAGTGATCCACCCACCTCAGCCTCCCAAAGTGCTGGGATTCCAGGTGTGAGCCACCGTGCCCTGCCAGGTGCAGCTCTTTTCTCGTGGGGGAATACTTCCTCTTGCAGAGGGAGTAGCCATGCAACTCACCTTGACTTGATGTAGCATGCCAGGAGAGACACAGCGCTCAGTCCACACAGCAGGACGGTGGATGTGGAGATAGCCACTGAAAGAGAGGAGACCACGCTGAGACACCCAGGAGCATATTCATTGCTATGAATTGCAAATTCTTTACCATGGACATTCTTACAGAGGGATCCAAGGGCCTCCCAACAAGCCTGCTGCTATGGACATTTCTTAAGGTCCATGCAATTCCCTCTATTTTATGTCTAGGTGAAAACACATTCTCTTTCCTGCTGAGGGTGCCAGCTCCCTGTCGTCCCACACCTCTGCTCCTCATCTTTGTCTTCTCGGGCAGAGTGCCTGGGCTGACGGGGCAGGGACAGGGCAAGTCAGGAGGCAGCAGTAAGAGCCTCAAGGGCAAAGCCAGGAGTGGGATGAGGAGAGAGCGCTCTTGCTGCTAAAGCCAGGGTTGAGAAAGCAGACAGGGACACCCCTCCTCTGCTGTCCCCAGTACAACGCCCCCTTTTCTTCAACTCCACAGGTTTAGAAACCATAGCACCCAGTGCCATTTTCCTTCCAATTTCATTTTTTTTCTCACTTGCCATTTTTTTCTTTTCTGTTTTTTGAGACAGGGTTTCCCTCTGTCACCCAGGCTGGAGTGCAGGGGCACTGTCTCGGCTCACTGCAACCTCTGCCTCCTGGACTCAAGTGATTCTCCTGCCCCAGCCTCCTGAGTAGCTGGGACTCCGGGCACACACCGCTACGCCTGGCTAATTTTTTGTGTTTTCAGTAGAGACGGGGTTTCACCACGTTGGCCAGGCTGGTCTCAAATGCCTGACCTCAACTGAACCACCTGCCTCAGCCTTCCAAAGTGCTGGGATTATGCAGGTGAGCCACTGCATCCAGTCTACCTACAACTTTGTTTTATTTTTTTATTTTTTATTTTTTGAGACGAAGTGTCACTCTGTTGCCCAAGCTGGAGTACAGCGGTGTGATCTCGGCTCACTGCAACCTCCAGCTCCAGGTTCAAGCGATTCTCCTGCCTCAGCCTCCTGAGTAGCTGGGACCACAGGCACGTGCCACTATGCCTGGATAATTTTTGTATTTTTAGTAGAGACGGGGTTTCACTATGTTGGGCAGGCTGGTCTTGAACTCCTGACCTCGTGATCCACCTGCCTCAGCCTCCCAAAGTGTTGGGATTACAGGCGTGAACCACTGTGCCCAGCCAACTTTTTCTTTTCTTTCTTTTTTTCTTTTTCTTTCTTTCTTTCTTT